TCCCCAGACAAGTGGGGCACCGTGAGTCCGCCCACGGTCACGAAGAGGGCTCCAAAGGGGTCACGGCGGGTCGCCCGGAGCGCTCTTCTGTTTGGGATCACGGTGGCGGTCGCTCGGGTGATCAGGAGGTCGTGGCACGTCCCAGACGGGCGCGCCGGCACGCCGTCGACCGGCAGAGCACGATATCGGCCGTCTGACCGACCGCTATCTGGAGTTGCGCTCGAGTGGCCACCATCTCAGCACGCAGACGAACCGGCAACAGGCGAGAGTCCGGACAGTACCGAGCCCGACCTTGTGCTCACCCCGGTTCCAGACATGGCGTCCAAACTGAACGACCCGGCCACCAGACATCACTGCCTCCACGCCAAGTTCAACACCTGGCGGTAATCTCGCCCGACTATTCCGCACTAATGAACTTTAAAACCGAGATTCGCGCGATCGTTGCGCATGTGATTTTCGTTCCTGGACACCTCCGGGGAACTACGGTGTCCGGTGGGAACCAGCCGTTTCATGATCACGTCTACTTTACCCGGCTGCCGATGGCCCTCTCAAGCTTTATCACATTGCATGCACATAGACTATTGAACGCACGGATGGGCACGTGACACGGCACTCGTACCAATCATCTGATACTCTCCATATTCCACCTTTTCTTGGGATCGTTTACCTTCCTTTTCCCCTTTCTACAGACATTTCCCTTGCTCAATCTTTTAGTAATTTTCGTTCCTTCTCAAATAGTGACCAGCTACTTCACTACCCCTAATTTTCAACAGCAAACTGTGACCGAAACCAGCTCGAACTCGCGCAAACTAAAACTATTCGGAGTGGCCTACAACTCGGCTCGAGGCACCATATACCTCTCACGCCACGACAGCTGCTGACCGCTGGCAGTGTCACAGAGTCCGACGATTCCGCCAAATCGCCACCGAACCAGGTCTCGGCGGATCCAGGCCAGCCAACGGAACACAGCTGTCACGGTGCGGGAAACCGATCCGCCAGCCAGACGCCAACTCGCGCGATAGCGGCATCACACGAGTCACACGCACCAGTCACAATTCCCATTGTCCTTGCCAGCGCGACACAGCCGGTGTCTCAAATTAGAAGATCGCGCAAAATTAAGGCACGAGACCAAACTATCTGAGGAATCGACAGAATCGGACTGGACATCTGTCAAACCTGCAGAAACAGACGAAATCTGCGCTGGTATCGTATGTCCGCCTTCGCTAACGAGGGACCACTAATGAGGAAACTCTCTATGAAGGACCAGCGGACCACGAACGCGGCACGCCACCCGGACTAGGATCGGACCACACCCGGACCACAGCGTGGACCACCTCAACGACCCGTCGCTCCAGATAGGCACGACCGCGACACGCAAAAACTCACCCGCCGCACCATTGTTTCCAGAAGGCGACAGAAAAAAGCGTACACCAGAAGTGATGCTCGAGACTTTTTGCCGCCACCCACCTCCACGAAGTTACCTACCGTCGTGGGCGGCCTTTGCGGGGGCGGGGGCGGGAGCGGGGGCGGTGTGTCGCCGAGAAGGCGCGGCCAGCCGCCAAAGGCGATAGGTCATCGGTAACGACTCACGGTTGACTTTCGTCGGGACCGACGCGAGTGTCGCAAGACGCGTGGCATCGGTTGCCACACGACATTGAGCCGGCCGCCGCGACGGCGGCGAAAGTGCCCGGGGGAGTGGCCCCGGGCACGCAGCGACCCGCCCCGCCCTGACCAGTGCACTTACTTCCCATGGCTGCCCCTACCGGCCGTCGGACCTTGTGAATGCCGCACATGTCAATACCGTGCCGATGGTCGGTGCTTTATGGTACCCAGCGCTTCGGTCAATACTGAATAATTATTCATCAGGCTGGTCAATAGAAGCACACGATAATTACTCGCCAACAACCTACAGACACAACCTACATCCATTAATCTACTGACATTTCAGCACCTTCATACACCTCAATAAACGACCCCACGATTTTTTCAGGGTTCGGTAAGGGAGCCCCCGTATGCCCTCCCCAATTTGGCCGTCCGGTGACCCGGTGGCGGTCGCGGACACCGCCCCAGGGCGTGTCTCGGGTCGGAGCCAGACCGGACAGAGCTGGTGGTGATTAATCGGCCTGTCCGCCGAGGCTATTGAATATTTCACGGTCCGGGCGGGAAGGGCGTGGTCGCCGTCCCTGTCTCTGGCTCGTACCGGCACGGTCACATGCCCAGGACGTGAGAGAGCAATCAGCGGTGTTTATGTAGTTGATGGAAAAGAGTAAATGATGGTGCGCTGATGCACCCATGTGAAGCGCGCTAGGGAATATCAGGACAACAGTGGGTAAGTCTAAGACGATTAATGCAGGGTAAGTCGCTGGTAATGATGCTTGCAGTCACTTCATGGACATTGCAACCATCGGAATGCGTTGTAAAATTTCAGTCTATAAAGGGAAAGTCTACAGAAAGTGTTGGTGAGGAAACACAAGCGGAATTTTCCCCATTCTTCTCAATGAAAATCATTTTAAATTTACAAATACTCAAGTGCCTAGCACAATATCGGTGTGACAAGGAAGATGAAGGGATAGTTTGTCAAAGCTGTCACACATCGTCCATGGCATGCATGATTTGTGGGTGTTTGCCAGACGGTTAAGTCTTAAAGCGTCTGGGCCCTTTCCATTAATCATGTTAAGTGAATAGGTCACAACCATCATTATCATCCTGAATGTAGCCCCGTTCAGGGCGGAAAGTACAGCGACTGACATTTCCGAAAAGATACTCCCGAGAAAAATGACCGGGACAAACTAAAAATGCATCGTCATCCTTACACTCGGTCGGGTAGGGAAATGTTCGACAATACTCATTATAAATTCAGACATCTGAATTAATTGAAACGAATATAAAACATGGCTCAAAACAGATAAGTGAACGTTCAAGAATGGAGACCAGAAATCGTCATACCATCTTTTCGTCATTCAAACCCCCTCGCAAAAGTCACGTCGATATTCCGTGGCCTTGTCAAGTCTGATGCCCTTCGCATCGTCTAGCTGTGAACACTTCAAAGCAGCAACACTACCGCTGTAGCGCTATCGACTCGTGAATTCGAGGAATCACTCGATAGCATTGCTATGTCATTGAATTATAGGCAATGATGATAGCCATACTGGCAGATGTTCCGTATAAAATAGCATGATCGATAATCTCAAAAAGGAAGTGCAGCAAATCACAAATTACACGAAATAGACTCGCGATCGAATTCGTCTAGCGTTTTTTATCGGGTATAATGTCTCGGAGCCACATATATCGCACGTAAGTCTTCCCACCATATCTTTGGTCAATACATGTACCGGCATCGCGATGTCGTAAGGTTTCCGATGATGTAACACCGTGCGATTCTGCTCGCACTGTGATAGTGCAATGAGCTCCATTCTAAAACCTCATCAGATACCGTACGATGCGACTTGGTTTGATGCTACATCACGACGTCAACGTTATAGAGCGATGTCATCTAATGAGCGGTTTTTCGGTACGGCTGTATGAGAATAAACTGCACCCATATTCCCCACCGAACTCAGGTCTACTGTTGGATGCTAGACAGAACGGGACGGGACGGGAGGGGAGGGGACGAGTCTGACAGCCGGCATGAGAGGGAAGGTCAGGAGGGTCACAGCCCGCTCCCCGGGATCCGCACCCCTCGTATCCGGCAGGACAGGCGGCGGAGAGACGGTTAAGGACGCTAGGCGATGACAGGTTGGTCAGACTACTTATCTCCAGAGAGACGAGCAAGGGTCACAGAGAGGTCGTTGGTAGGTCTGGGTAATGGTGAGCGATACAAATCTGCCGACCGGCTGTCCATCTACACCATAGCGGTGAAGAAGTGCGCCCAGTGATGTAAAACGAAGTCTAGTCTGGCTAGTCAAAGGAATATCTGATATGCAAGTAGATGCGAACACTGTCAATCCCTAGCACCTCTCAGCACACCCCAGCTCAGTTGGGCAAACTAGACCTTTGGAATCAAAATATGGAGGCATCAAAAGATTGATTCCTTATGACCATATTTGGGCATAAATGCAGACCATTTCTAACTTACCAATCACATAAAAATAAGAGAGTGTTTCAAGAAGGAGCATGCCTGATCTTGAACAGAAATGCTGGAACTATCTCCTCAGCAAAATAATATTGCTCCTATCATAAAAATTTGAATTCTATAGGTAGTGAAAGGCAATCAAGGAATTGATTCACTTTAAACAGATAATCATAATATTGATTCCCCATCAGCTGGCTAATCATTATTTTGATTCACAGGTAATGTTAAGAGATAGGCAACAATGACTTGCAGGAATACATCATTTATCTTGCTACTGTTCTCATTTAGTGGTATCCTCAGCACCACAACAGATACCTATAGCATTGTTGTAGTTAACCTTCACTACATTTGATAACAATTCACAATTTTTAAATGTCAAGAATACAAAAACTGAAGCAACAGGTAAAAACCATATAATAAATATAAAAGCACTACAACAATGATAATAAGGGGTTTAAAAATTCCATTTTGCCATTTTACACAAATACTGATTGTTAAGTATGCTATTCATGATACAAAAATAACATACAGTGTGATTTCCTCAAAACAGCTCATACGTGATGGACAGTGGCTCTGTCTTTTTCCCATTCACAAGGCCAAAGGGACAATTTCTTAGTTTTGAGGTAACACTTTTTGGAAAGCTACCACATTTTTCTACCTTTTTAAAGAAAAATCTCACCGTCATGGGCCTTTTATCAACCGTAACGATACATTTGAAGTCAAAAGTGTACCCAAATGAATCAAAAAATTGATTCCATGCCCATATTTGGTCATGGCTCCTCCCACCAGAATCAAATTATTGATGCCTCCATATTTTGATTACAAAAGTCTAGTTTGCCCAACTGAGCTGAAATCAGCCCAGATATGACAATCTGACAGCCACACTCTGCCCCACGTCATCCACCCGTCTGCTGCTGCGGGGACCCACCTGAACTTCTGAGCATCCTGCCCTGCAGCCGCAGGTACACGGCCACACAGCCGCCGGCCGCCGCCGCGCGCTGACGGCTCTCCAAGCCCAGCGGCGCGTCAGCGCGCTCCATCGCTCGCGCTCGTCTCTTCCCAGCGCCTGTCAGTCGAGCAGGCCTCGCTCGCCGGTCTCAACTAGCGGTCCGCCGCGCACATAAGTGACAGCGCCAACAAACACCACGCACTGGTCGCCCCGTCGCCGGTCGTCGTTCACTGTCGGTCGCGTCGCGTTCGATGGCGCGGTCGTCTTGCGCGATGCAGGCGTAACCCCTCTCGCAGCAAGCTCGACCGCGTCTGCCGCTCCGTCGCCTGCCGGGCCGCTCGCCACCGGCCGCCGCTAGGGGCGCTGGCATCGCGGGGTTCTCAACTCGAGGCCGCCAGAGGTTCTCAACCCGGCCCGGCGCGGAACAAAGAGCGCTGTGATGGAGTGCGGTGGCCCTCCGCGGCGGTCAAGCGGGGCAGATCGGGTCGGTGGGCGGCACGGGGGAGCGACCACCAGGCGGCACACACCGGCCACCTCTCGGACCTTTCTCAGAGGACGGCAGAGAGGCCGCCGTTCCCGTAACTGGAGCTGTTTCACTCGGTTTCAGTGGGAGAGACGGCAGCACTGGAAGTCAAGAGATGGGCATCACGGGAAACGCCCTTCCGTGGCGCATTCAGTCCACACCTTTCCTTATGAGGAGGAGCAGCTTAAGGATTATGAGCGATGCGTTTAAAAATAGCAACCAAGTGAAGGAACTGGGATGAATTGTTTTTGGGAGTAGCACGCAGCAGCCTTCCCCCGGTCACCAGAGTTCAGCTCCAAGATCTACCAAGCGCCTCCGTCGTCCAAGTTTCCAACAGCGGGTCTCGCCGTAGGTTGGTGACACCTTGGACAGGTCGGTAACGGTAACGGTAACATGCAGACGAGATGCGGTGGAGGACAAGTAGTGTCAGAAAACGGTGATAAGTGTCAGAATACTAGTGGGGCCACTAGAGATTGCGGATGACAGGTATGAGGCCCGCCTCAACCATACCAAAACAACTACCTCCAACTGTCTTCTGTCACTTTGCCGAGTCGTGTCACTTACTCAAAAGGATGCTTTTGCTAACGTTGGTAAAGTGCATAAGGGTGGCTATATGAGCCCATTTGTCGGGTCGCCCTTTCCTGATAAGCGGCACTTGGCAGCAAAGGGGTTGTGTATGAACTGCGCCACCATCCTAACGGACCCCTGCAAAGTCTCCAACACCTGAAGTCAACCCCAGACACCCACCACGAATCCACTATCGGAGGCGACTGCACCAGCTTCGCGGCGACATCAGAGCATCCCTCATGCATGTCCCGCAGCACGCTAAACCCAGAAACACGGCTGATGGCGGTGATTGCCGAACGGAGTCCCAGACTGGCGGCGTGTGTGGGATCGGGCCGCACTTCCGGACACTGTGTGGGGAACGACGTCGCCATCTTGGGCGTCATCGCTGGGCGTCATCGCTGGGTGCTGGCGTCAGGCGTCATCGATGGGCGTCATTGCCGTAAGTCATCGGAAGACGCAAGATGAGTTGCAGTGAATAGTGATGATGATGGAATGATTGAACTGTGATGAACGAAGAAAGAAGCCTGTGATCCATGATGAAGACAGAAACATGGAACAAGAGGAGGGATGATGGACGTATAAGGAATAGAAGGAAAGGAATGATACCACATGCATTCATTCATTCAGCAACAAAGACATGTAGACATTAAGACAGACACAGATGAGATCCATCCAATTTCAACCAGCCCGCACCTCTGTGACGCGAGTTCAGATAAGAAGCACCCCGCCACCCGCCGCTGTCAGCAGTGTGACGATACCAGCAACACCAGCCTCCGACCGCTCACAAAACTGCAGCGTCATATTGCATAATTATTAAAATAGCTGCCCCGTGTGACAGGCACCTTCCCTCAGTGTCAGGGACGGGTCTGAAAATGCACCCCCTGGCACGTGCTGCTGACAGCGTGTCGCTCCATCGGTGACATCCAGGTCGTGTCGTATGTCACCTAGTGACGTCACAAGGTGTGCAGTGACGTCATTGTCAGTCTGTGTTGCAAATGTTGGTGGGGTCGGACAGGGTATGAAGGCGTAGTCATATGCAGAGCGTAGTTCTTCATGCAGAATATAAAGCGTCGAGGCACTGTACTGGTTATGGTGGCGTATTGAAGATGAAGAAGCCTGTAAGAGCAGTGCCCTTGCTGGGTGTGGCCATGTTTAATATGATTTGCGCCAATACATCTAAAGTCACTGGTGCCTGAGCAAAGCTAAATACTTGCCATCTTTGTCATGAATGTTTGGATGATCCATCAGTGATCGTCGCTCTTCACTATCCCCATAATCCTTGCATGGTCCTGGATCAGCTTTTAGGCGATCCCGGGTCAATCCTTACCGGATGCTTCAGCAATCTCCAGATAACGATTCACCCAAAAACAAAGCGACCCTCTACATATCCAAATCCTCAAACAATATCTCATCCACCTAAAAACACCCGTCATTCTGCCCAGCTCAGAGCAGCCGCAGCATCCGTTGGTCGTCAAGCATGGGTGACCATCACGCGGATTTAGCTGAGAGAAATCTGCCGACAGGGACGAGGACTGACGGACTTCCGTGGGATTCCGGGGGATTTCGGGCACGTGTGGGGCCGGCCCCGGACTCACAGGGCCGGATGCATCCCCACAGATCCGCAGGCAGAAATTCACGGCATGGAACGAAGGTGGGCGTCGAAAACCCCGACACAAGGACTTCGGAAACACGAAGGCGGCACCTACATGTACTCACCAACGACCAGCTTGACTACTCAGCATAAGATGAGATTATTTCCCTTGATCGAACGATCTTTCACACAATGTAAGTCGATAACAGCCGAATCATGTTCACGCAAAACACTGTTTTATATACCAGTACCTTCACAGCCGAAAACTAGCCACAACACCATCCTGCTCCCCTCCTGGCGCCAACAACCAGCTCCGAACTTCAAACAAAGCCCACCACCGACCACGACCCATTCACTGAAAAGCTTCGTCCAGCCTCTGCAGCATTCCTGCTCGATCCGCTGCCGACCCAGACGTCTCGACACGTCTCAGAGTGTGATGACACGAGATGATCAGACACAGACACACCCCGAGTCTAGGTGATTACCATCTCAGACGGAGACAGGTGTCTGCAGACAGACGTCTGGGACCGCGTCTGGGACGCCGGCGGCTGGCCGCCCGAGCGCAACAGAATTACACGAACGAGTTGTTTTGCATCGGTAAAGGATAGTGGGTATTTTTGATGGGATTGATTTGAATCCCTTGGTGATACGGCATTTTTTCGATTTAGAAGGGATGCGGTTTTTGTTGCGGCTGAGATAAGCGTTTAGATCAATTTCATCTTACATTATCCGATCACACAAGGCATCGAAGAAAATCAAGGTAAAAACAAGACAACAGGCAAGATCGTTCACAGCCATTAGCTCCCAAACTTGCATGTAGGTACGTTTCCATTCTACCAAAAACGCATTCAATGAAGCAGTAGGCTCAATTACCCCGATATGTCGACTAGTGCAACCTTAGCTGGAACAGTCAATCACTGCAGAAAAGTTACCAATTGAACATATCCTACATTTTCGGTTCCACGGATTCCATTCAAACATTCTGTTCCGAGGAATCCACTTGCAATGTGGCAACAACGCTAAGCAGTTATCTAACCATGCCTCAACACCTTTTCGATCATGAATTGCTCTCCGGAGGGGAAGCCCTCAAAAGTCGATATTCACGTTCACGAGGAGAACAGAAGACGTTCGTGATTGATTTGGACAAACAGAACACGGCCCCGCTAGGCAACCAATCTGGCCGTGCACCTAGAGGGCCAGTTAAAGTTCCCTCAGAATTGGACAGTGCCAGGACAGCAGCGCTTCACCAATGTCCATTGTGGCGCAATCTATTTGAATCCGCTCCAATGCAACATTGCAACTTGCAAGCCAGATGTTATTATTGGTGTCTAATAATGTAAAAAAAGGTAAAAATGAATAAGCAAAACAATAAGATAAATACATACATCACGCATGCTGTGGCCATGATCTGTGTATGCGTCAAATTATTCGCTTTATCGTGCTGCTAAAACGACAATTGTTTTTGGGGCACTACACCAATGCGATGATAGTGAGAAACCCGACACCATCATCGAGTTCTCTCCAATTCTGACGACAAAGCATTCCGGTCACGACAGAGACCATTTCTCGGCTCCCTGCGACGAGATCGCTCACTGTGATTTACGGGACAGAAAACGCAGACGTCGCAATCCGGCCTTCAGCTAAATCGCCCGCCTGAAATGAGATTAGTCTGCGTCGAGATGGTCAAGAGTTCTGATGTGCGCAGCTGCGAAGGAGAACTAATCGTAAAAAATAAGGTCAAAATGGCTTCATTTAACAGCAACTCTCGTCCAGTTCGTTGAAGTACCCAATAACCTCTAGACTTGACACCAAGCAGAAACAATATCTTGAAAGCACACCCAGTCATAGCATCAACAACTTGCATCGCAATGCACGTGTTCTTAAGAAAATAAAAATCAACGTTGTCCAATCCATCCTTTCGCATCAAAAAGGTGGGCAGGCTAACTGCAACAAATGTTTTCCTCACTGGTGCTCAGTTGTGACCATCAGTGGCCATCAGTGGCCACTGATATGTCTGGCTGGAAAGCTCAACTCCTGACAACCCACCGATAACGGTTCATGCGCACTGCTCGATAACTCTAATGTCCCGTTCTCCCACCGTTTCCGCCAAAACTACCTTTCAACTCATTCAAAACATCACGACTTTGCTCAAACCCTGACTCCTGACCAGACGTCTCAAAACCTCGCCGACTTTAGCTTCAGTACTAATCTGACCCCCAAATCTTTCTTGCAACAAATCCAGCTTGCATCAAATGACCGTCTTCTGAGACGCCGCGCGGCGGACGCCCAGTTTCGAGGCGCGGATCAAGCGCAGATACTCATCGAGCGCGACGGGTGAGGGAAAAAAATCGTCAGAGTATCTCCGAGGCACGGTCCCCGGGGGAGATTTCGGAGAATCCCGGGACGGGGCGGGTTCCCACGCCAACAGCTGATCGAGCAGAAGTTGGATGGGCAAGTTGCGTTGATCGAGTTGGGTGGCCGAGCTAGAGCCGCGAGTTTAGTCGGCGACAGCAGAGCTGCAACCTTTCTTGCATTGGAGAAGTGTGGGTTTTCAATCACGTTTATCAAACTATGTATTTCTGTAAAACAGGCAAACCTGATAATTATGATGTTAGATAAT